TAGCAGAAATTACTGGCATAGTTACGAAATTTCAAAATGTTTTATATGCAATAGTACCATGGCAATAGTGCTATTGGCTTATCAAACCAGTTCTGTTACATGATATCCCACTTTACCGTTTCCTCTACAAAATCATTTCTCTGAATATTTAACCATTATTTTTTCGTTTCTTGATGTTGTAATATGCGAAAAAGAAAGGAAAAAAACGAATACTAATGGTATCTATCGATCTTCAGAACTGTCTGGTTTTTTTTTTTGCTTTTCGATGTCCATTGCTAACAGCGATCAGGTTACTTAAAACACTTGAAAAGTAATGTTAACATAGCTGCGACAAATCATAAAATCTCGAACCATTTACATAAAACATCGAAGATCATACTATATACTCTGAGATGTATATTACAACACTCTATTATACTTATTATACTTGGAATATTAAGCTGCACATCCGTTTTATTTCCACTAATTATTCAACATTATTGTATGAAACTGAAATACTATCTCTTTTTGTTTCTACTCTTTCAGCACCGACTAATTTCACTAATATTGCAGGAAGAAAGAATATCACATTTTTATTTCATCATCCCGCAAAGCAAAAAGAAAGGAACAATGAGATGGAACAAGATATAACCAGTAAAATATAAAATTCTATTAACTTCGAAAACAGAAAGAATCATTATTTGAAAATTCAAACCCAAGTTACGAACAATCCTATCCATAATTCAACAAGATTTCGTTAACTTTAGACATTTCTGTTGCTAATTAATTTTTCCAAAACTAGAAAATGAAAAGCTTTTTAAACTCAGCAAAGACAATCAATCAAATCTTAATTACTGCAAATGCTTCAACCGCCTGTTCAATTCTTCCACCAAATTGTCTCGAGGTATATCCTGAAATGTTCTAATTTTTATACAAGACAACCACAAAACAATACCGTTTACAGCACCACTTTCATGGGTAAATATTTTGATTATTAAATTGCATATGAAAAATAAAATTTTTATACCATAAAAACAACACTTAATTTTAAATTGAAATCAAATTTAATTAGAAAATTTCATATCAAAATCTTACCTCCTCGACACGAGAAGGCACATCTCTCAATTTCAAGATGCCTTCTTCTAATTCACGCTCACCAACAATTATTGCTAGCGGTATTTTATGCTCTTCACAATATTGCATTTGATCTAACATTTTCGGATTTGCCTTCAATGCCATTTCAGCCTAAAATATTTCAGAATTCAAAAAACAAATGAATAACAAAAGAAAAACGTGAATTTTTCCAAAAGAAACACGTGATTTTCATTTTCTAAATATCCATACAACCGGCTGAAGCTGAAGTTAAGTTAATGAAAAGCAAACCTTGATATTATTATCCCAAAGCAACCGACAAATTTTCATCCTTTCCTTCACCAATTTCTTTTGTGCAGAAGCTACAAGAACTTGTGTATCTTTTGATCG